ACGTTTCGATGAAGTCTCATTCATCATCTTCAGGCTTCTGTCTTCGGTTCTTGCTTCTCAGAGTGATGTGAGAAGCAGCTGCAATCTCACATCACTCTGAGAAGCAAGAACCAAAGACAGAAGCCTGAAGATGATGAATGAGACTTCATCGAAACGTTGCCTAGATACTTCGAATCTTACGCAGGAGAAAACCCGAACAACCAAAGATCCAAATACAAATACCCGCGAGAACCTCAGAAAACACACACACACACACACACACACACACACACACACACACATATATCTTTTTAAGAATATAGTGTCTATTTTAAGAATATACCAAGCAGAATTCGATTGGAAGTTATGTATTATATTGAATGCTATAATCTTAAAGCTATACATTGAAGCTTAAATAAGAGCTTGAATGGATAAAATTAAAAGATATAAAGGTGTCATACTCTAATTGGTAACTACAGGGAAAAATTTGTTTAATAAGAAAAGATAATGTGAAATTATAACAGGACAGACAAAAGTATAAATATAATGATTTGAATTGAGATAATCAAAACAAAGTTGAGAAAATTAGAAGAGGGGAAAAGCTATGTAGAAAATATAAAATGGTAATAAGATATGGAATAGAATATAAAAATGAGCATGTAATTGAGTTTTGTGTCTGTATGAAGAAGTGATAACCTGGGACCATGCTATTTTCAAAAAAGATGTTTTATTTGTATTTTGTTTTTGTGAAAACCCAAATAAAATTTTCATTTTTTTTTTCACAGCCCTCTTTTTGACTTGAGCAGTATAGAGGTCTTCAACTGAAGGCAGGTGGGTAGTAATAGTTTTTTGTGCAGTCCTAATTATCCTCTGAAGTCTGTGTCTGTCCTGTTGGGCTGCAGAATCAAAGCAGACGGTTATAGAGGTGCAGATGATAGACTCAATAATTCCTCTGTAGAACTGTATCAGCAGCTTCTTGGGCAGTTTGAACTTTCTGAGTTGGCGCAGAAAGAACATTCTTTGTTGTGCTTTTTTGGTGATGTTTTTGAAGTTAGGTGTCCATTTTAGGTCATGTGATATCGTAGAACCTAGAAATTTGAAGGTCTCTACTGTTGATACTGTGTTGTCTAGTATTGTAAGAGGTGGTTGTATGGGAGGGTTTCTTCTAAAGTCTACCACCATTTCTATGATTTTGAGTGCGTTCAGTTCCAGATTGTTCCGGTTACACCATGAGGCAAGTTGTATAACCTCCTGTCTGTATGCAGATTCATCGTTGTCTTGAATGAGACCAATCATTGTTGTGTCATCAGCAAACTTCAGTATTTTAACAGATGGATCGTTTGAGATGCAGTCATTAGTATATTGGGGAGAAGAGAAGTGGAGAAAGCACACAGCCTTGGGGGGGGCCCTGTGCTGATTGTACGGGTATCAGATGTGATTCTGCCTAGCTTCACCTGCTGCTTTCTGTCTGTTAGGAAGGTTATGATCCACTTACAAGTGTGTTCAGGTACCGCTAGTTGGTTTAATTTACTTTGAAGAGTGTCTGGAATGATCGTATTGAATGCTGAACTGAAGTCTACAAAGAGGACCCTTGCGTAGGTATCTGGAGATTCAAGGTGTTGTAGGATGTAATGCAGAACCATGTTAACAACATCATCTGTCGATCTATTTGCTTGATATGCAAACTGCATGGGATCTAACAGAGGATCCGTGATGGTTTTCAGGTGGGACAGCACAAGCCTTTCAAAGATTTTCATAACTACAGATGTTAGAGCAACTGGTCTGTAGTCATTCAGTTCCTTGATGGAGGGCTTCTTTGGCACTGGGATGATGGTAGAACGTTTGAAGCAGGAAGGAACATAGCACATTTCTAGAGATCTATTGAAGATTCAGTTGAAGATGGGGGCCAATCGGTCAGCACAGACTTTTAAGCAAGAAGGGGTTTTCTTGTCTGGCTCTGGTGCTTTTCCTGGCTTCTGTCTGTGTAATAGATTTTGCACTTCTTTTTCTGTGATCACCAGAGGTTGTGAGCCCAATGGATTGGGGCCAGTTGTAGGAGGCTTGGCTGTTGGTGTGCTTGAGATGTGGGTTGTGGAGAGAGGTGGCTGTAGTTTCTTTTCAAACTTGCAATAAAACACATTCAGGTCATCTGCTGGTTGTTGATTTCCTTCTGCCTGGGAAGGAGTTTTGCTGAAGCCAGTGATGTTGTTAAGAGTTTTCCATATGTTTGATGGTTCATTTGTTGAGAATTGATTCTTTAACTTTTCAGAGTAGTTTCTTTTTGCTGTTCTGATCTCTCTTGTTAATATGTTTCTGGCCTGGTTGTATAGCATTCTGTCACCTTTTCTGTAGGCTTCCTCTTTGGAATGACGTAGCTGCTTAAGTTTAGCTGTGAACCAAAGTTTATTGTTGCCAAATATTTGCAGGTTCCTTGTTGGTATACATAAGTCTTCACAGAAGCTAACACATGATGTTACAGTATCTGTGAGCTCATTGAGGTCTGCAGAGGCATCTTCAAAAACATTCCAATCAGTGCAATCAAGGCAGACCTAGAGTTTCAACTTTGCCTCTACCGACCAAGTCTTCACTGATTTAATTGTTGGTTTAATAGTTTTAAGTCTTTGTCTGTAGGCAGGTACAAGGTGAATCATGCAGTGGTCAGAGTGTCCCACAGCTACTCATGGTAAAGACCTATATGTATCTTTTACTGTTGTGTAGCAGTGGTCTAAAGTATTTTTGCCTCTGGAGGGACAATTTACATGCTGGAAATATTTTGGGAGCTCTTTCCTTAAATTTGCTTGATTGAAATCTCCTAAAATTATGGGAAGGGAACCTCGTTGTTTGGCTTCAGCCTCCATAATTGGATCAGCAAGAGTTTGTAATGCCTTGTTTACACAGGCTTGTGGAGGAACATAACACAGCTATTAGGAGAAATGAGGAGAACTCACGTGGAGAGTAAACTGGCTTGCAGTTGATGTGTAAAGACTCTAAGTTTTCATCACAAAACTTATATATTATAGTAATATCCTGAGATAAGCTGTTGTTGATATATAAACATAATCCTCCACCCTTTGTTTTACCTGATGTCTCTTCAATTCTGTCTGATCTAAATGTCTGAAATCCTGGGATGTATAAGGTGTTGTCCCTATGAATTTGTGGATTAAGCCAGGTTTCAGTAAAACAAAGAACAGCTGAATTATGAAAATCAGAATTTCATCCATCTTGTTAGCCAGTGAGCATAAATTAGTCAGAAAGATTGAAAGGAAAGGAGTTTTTTTCCCCCTATTCCTTAGTCTGTTTAAAATTCCCACTCATTTACCTTGACTCCTCATCCAGTGTGGTCACTTCTTTGCTTTCTTTGTTGTAATCCATAGCATTGGGGAATTGGTTTTAATTTTAATTTGGATTTAACTCTATTCATAAAACATTGCAGAAACAACAGCGGTAAATAATTGGAAGATCTCCTGAAATAAAATATAACTAAGAATGTATGTCAGCCAATCTTATGAAAATATTAGTATTTTTGATTTTATTGCTAGATAAAAACTTATGGAGGAAAGAACAATGATGTTACAGCACAAACTTTGTGGCTTAACATACTGTGTCTATTCCGGGCACAATAAAAAAGGGTGGGATTTGCATTGGGCTGTCATAATTCCTATTTCATCATTTTTTCCATCATGATTACTAGCAGTTCAAACATTTTTGCTAGATAACCTTTCAGCCCATTAACCATCCCTATCTATTAGCCCGAATAGATTATGTGCCTACTTCTTAAAAAAGCTCTCCTCTGCCATAGCAGAACCCCCTAAGCATTATATATGAAATATCATTCAGAACCAGCTCCTTACCGAACCTATGGTCCTTAGCTATGGTCATTCCTATCTTCAAAAAAGGAGACCCCAGGCTGGTTGAAAACTACAGACCAATTTCACTGTGTTGTGTCATGTGCAAAGTCATGGAATCAATCATTAACCAATTCATCACCCTCCACTTAGATTCAAACCACCTACTCTCCAAAAAACAATTTGGTTTCAGGAAAAAATTATCCTGCAATTTTCAACTCCTACACTACAAAAACATATGGGCCAATCGACTTGACCAGGGTAAAGCTATAGACACAATTTACATAGACTTCTGCAAAGCCTTTGATTCAGTGGTACATGACAAACTACTATTAAATCTAAACTCTTATAGTATTTCCGGATCCCTTTATAAATGGATTCTTGTGTTCCTGTCAAACAGGCAATAAATAGTAAAAATAGGGAGAGCTATTCTTGATGAACTTCTCACTGAAGTTATACCCATGCACACTGAATTCCTCCTTATAACAGTAAATGCACTACATATATTTCAAACTAATGATAGATTGGATTTAGGCATACCATCTGCAAAAAGAAGAGGCTCCATTTGTAGAAGAAACTCCAAACATTTTCCCTTCAGCCTCAAACCCCAGGTATTCTTTAAAAAGATGATCTAGAAGACCAAAACTACATCTGTCTTCAACTGTATGAGAATGGTGGACCATGCCAAGAGCAGGACTACATTCATTTAAAGTCTGAATCACACTTCATGTATAGCCGACAAAAGTGTCATTCCATTCCATTCCATTCCATTCTGTTGAGGTTCTAAGACAGGACATTCTTAGCAAAAAGGATTCTTCCTGTAGAGCACTAGTGGAACATAGTAAATTACTTTTGAGGATACCATTAGGAAATTATATTTTTTCAAACTGGCAAGGTCAGTAAATAGTATGTGAAATTTTTCATTGCTATAATTTCATATTCCATCATGTCATCTTCCAAGTCAGATTTAGGAAAATCAGCTCCTTAGAAAGGATTTGTCCATAGGCCCTAGGCCCATTTCTTAGAATTTAGCTTTTAGAAATTCTTTGTTGGAACCCCTATTTCAAATAATCCTTGGGATCTTGATAAATTTCATTTTCAATATCTTATATTGAACAAATATCAACTCCCAAAAAACATACACTATGGCTAAACTTGAATTATTAGCATGCAAAACTCACTGCAGTTAGTTAACATATAATAAGTCTAGCTAGGAGTAGCCATATTTCACTGCTACATTTGCATTTATTCTCTTCTTTTTATGGTACACTGCTTTATATTTTGTTTGGGTGTAAGATTGCAAATAACATTTGATTAAAATTTTATTTAAGCTCATTTTTTTCTTTTCCAGGGAAATCAGAATCATTCTAATTAGACTTGCTATAAATGTGACAAATATAGAAATCATAGCTGATACATACAATGGGCAGTACTGACAAACATAGAAGTAGTTGTATGCAGATGAAGGACAATAGTTAACAGCACAACCAATACGGTAACTGTTGTACCAAACTATCTGTAGATAGAAAAATATATACACAGGTTAATATCCTAGAAGCTTAATATTGATAATAAATATATGGACTTCAGAGGAGCATGTAAGAAAAAAAATCCAGATGCGAGCATGTTGCAGTATATAATGCATACCACAATAACAATGAGTGTACAAATAACTTCTCCAATCATTTCATATAAAAGTTTGCCAAAGCAAATAAGTATTAGAACAAATAAAGCTTCATCCTCTGTGCTTTAAATATATATATTTAAAATGAAAAAAAAAACACGAAACTGTTCCATCCTGAACTTTATAGACCATCTCTTTCTAAAGTGCCCCACCACATCCAAAGCAGTCTACATGTCGAGTTATGACCAGCAAGCTAGTTCTTCCTTCCCAGCTGCATGAAAGCCAAGATCTGAATGGGCAGCTATTTTTGAATAACAAATAATACATTTAGTATTTTGCAATCCTTCATTTACTCCCTATCAGTACTTAAAAAACAAAATAGTGCAACATTTAACCAAGTCTAGTTTTTCCTTTTCCTTAACATGCACTAGGACTACGGCTTTTAGCCAAGATCCTCCTGTGCTCAGGTCTATGGATTTATTTAGTGATTGCAATGACACAGTTGCTTGGTTTTCTTGACCACAGGACAGAAAAATGTTCTGCTATTAATTTTTTGTGGGATGTTCTCTCAATTTTCCAGTCTAGCCTCAAGCAATGATTTTCCTCTGTAACAACCAGGCCTGGCCTAGCTTAGTCATTCAGGATCAGCCATGGATTTAAGCTTAACTCAAGGGAATCTGCCATTTTTTATCTCACTCATTTTTGTGGATTTACACTTGGTGAACATAGAAATGGCAAAGATATAAAAAGTACTACCTGAGTATAAGGGCCAATAAGGGAACCTGGTGGGTTTGCTCCAATGTCATAGGTTAAATATTTGTATTCATCATACAAAGACTGAATTGCTCTACTCCATGCATGAGGGTGACTTGACTTGTATAGATTTTCACCACATTGTATTCCTTCTAAAAGTGGATAGGGTTAAAAAAAAAAGCAACAGCAAGAAAACACAGGTGAATATATGTTTTGAAAGAAGCAAAAGGACAGCAGAAAGGAGATAGCTGAGCATTACTTATTGCTCCAGAGATACTAAGGCAATCTTCTTGCTAAACTATTGAAAAGGAAGTGAACATTTGTACCCCGATTTCTTACTGTAATGGTTTGCACAACCTTTAATTGTTCAAAGTAGCTATCAATTGTTTAAAAACAATACTGTTTATTTAGAAGTAAATTAGAACCCAGATACCCTATTTTTGGGGTATATCTGTATGTTAATACATAGTGTGGTATTGGGATTAGGAAGATTCAGTTTTAAGTCTCCAATGACTATGGAAATCTCTGAACATCTTTGGGCTCAGCAGCTACCATCAGTTGTGGTGAGAACAATATCTTTCACAACTTGGGGAGATGGTAGTCTATAAATGTAGTAATGTATAATATAAAAAAGAAATCAAAAATCATTCTTCAAATACCATTTTTCCTGCAAAATCATGGGGGGTGGGGATTAAGAAAATAATTACTGTCTTAATCCTTCTACCATCCAAGGGAGGATTCATAAGTATTACTTCTGCTAATATTTAAGAGCAAGATTGAATATAAGTGCTATTTAATGTGAAATATACTATTAATCCTCTAACCAATTAAAGCTATACTATGCTTTTATACTATGACTTACCAAGAACTCTTGAAGAGTTTGGACTGTGATGAAGACTACAGTTATTGGCCCAACGTTCTGCACTTGAAGCAGCTTCAGGATACCATTCCTGAATAAGAACAGAAGTGAACAGCAACAATCAAACAATGAAAGAGGCACAATTTAAAATTGCAGAAAGTATCTGTCTGATCTTTTTTTTTACTGCCTTTTGACTTCCTTCAAATCGTGTATTCAGAAGTTACAGCAATATTCTCTAAAACAGGGGTCTCCAACCTTGGCAACTTTAATCCTGGCGGACTTCAACTCCCAGAATGCCCCAGCCAGGAAAGCCCATTGCCTAAGGCCTCCTAAATGTAGCTCCCTAAATGGAACCCACACAGTGCCCTCTCTGCTAGATCTGGTGAGACAGGAAGATGTAATTGGGGAGAGGCTGTTTCTCCAATAACCCATCCCCACCCCACATAGGATTTTTAAGGTGGGTCACTGTGAATAAGAGTTCCTTGATCTAGGAATGGGCACACACCCGTGAATGATATGAAGTTGTATGAAGGCTCTCTTAGCCACAACTGCCACCTGCCCCTCAAGCAGGAGTTGTGAGTCTAGGAGGAAACCCAGATTGTGCATAGGATTGGTTTGGGGCAGTATAATTCCATCCAGCACCAAAGATGTCCCAGAACTGGAGGGTCCCAAAACCTAAAGCCACTCAATCTTTCCAGGTTCAGGTGAGGCCAGTTGTTCCCCATCCAGAGCATCACTTAATTTTCCAGGGACAGAACTGTAGAATTAAATATTATCAATATATTAATGACACTCATCCCATGTGATGGATGAGTTCTCCTAGCATTTAGATGTTAAATAGGAGAAGAGAAGCACCAACTCCCGTGGAACCCCACACATTAGCGGCCCAAGACTGGCTGTCTCCTCCCCAATCACCAGTCTTATCAAGGTTCCTGCATGATCAGTTCATGTGTGACTCTGATAATTTACACAAAAGCATATCCTGGATTTTGTGGTGCATGTAGTAAGGACTGAGGGATATATCATGACATTGTCATTTATGTCACTCTAACTACCCCACCATCTTTCTTCTTTTTCATAGATGTCATAATATTTATTTATTTACATCAATCATTCCAATTGGTATTTTCAATCTGTTTCCTGGTGATACTGCCACGTGAACCAAAGATCTACCTGGGCCATTTGCTTGCCAATATGCATTGCTATTTTAATGGGTAAAATACTTTGTAAAACTGGTTTTACTTTTGAGGGAAGCTAATCAACATTTTTTCATAAAAGGAAAAAAAATCAGATTCTACAAAATAATACAGAAAATTGGTATTATTATTTTCAAGAACAGACTGGACAGCCATTTTGTCTGGAACGTTGTAGGATTTCCTACCACGGGCAGGGGATTGGGCTAGAAGACCTCCAAGATCCCTTCCAACTTTGTTTGATGCCAATTGAAACCACAGTGCTTGGAAGTAAATGCAGTATTGTAACTGATTTTCATGTAGAAGAAAGGACATCCAGATGTTGTCGGTATTGCACTATTGTTAGGGATACACCCTAGCAAGATCTGCAGGGCAGTCAGGCAGGTAGGCAAAATATGTGAGATAAACGTTGTTTGTAGCTTACACTCAGTAAACCAGATACACAGTGCCTATTAAATAGTTTTATTCCAGCAAGAGTTAAAGCATAGTCAAAACAGTCCATATATCATTCACTTAGTTCAGTCTGTCCAGGGATTATTCAGTTGCAAATTTCAGTGTCAAAAAAGAGTGGTCAGTACACTTACAAATATCAGTCCGGTGATATATCTCCTCGCAGTAGAGAGATATGAAGAACTCAAAAACTCCTCTCTTCCTTCAGCAACTCTTCAGTAGGGGAAAGACGCAGCTAACAAACCATCAACGTAATCCAATCCAGTAATTGTCAGTAATTGCCAGCAAACCGTCAGGGAATCGTCAGCAAACAATCAAGTTGTCTTGCTCCCTCTTATGGTGGTTTCATACCACACCCAAAATTACATGCTTTGCAGTTTTAAAGTGACACACACACTTAAACTTAGAATGATAGTTTATATATATTATTTTACCCAAACTACGTTAGGTGACCTATGTTATACCTAACAACTATGCTATGTACCTATGTACAATTACTAGAGCACAAGGGCTACTGATTTCCATGGGATTTATATCAACCTAAAGGATCTTGAGATTGCAATTTATGTGAAATATGAAAGTCTAGTCTTTGCTGAGATTATGGCAATTAAAGATACAAGAGCCAATATTGGAAGTGATGTAAAAATTGTTAGTGTTTGGGGACAAACCCCCAAGCAGAGTGCACAGCAGCAGTCAAGCCAGGCAGCCAAATGAGAGAGAGGCTGGGCCCAAGAGTATACACACACTGGAGACAAAAACACTGTTTGTAGTTTTAAAATAGTTATTTAATACACACAGAGATTAAGAAGTGTCATTCAGTCCATATGTCATTATCCAGTATATCCATCCAGTTACCTAGTCCATTAACTAGTAATTACAATGTCTTTATCTGCTTGTAAATCTTCTCCTCCCGATACCTTTCTCTCAAAGACAACGCTGAGTATGCACAGCTCACCAAGTAAACAGTCCTTTGTTCAGTAGAAATGGTATCTTGCACAGTAGCCAACAAGCAGACGTCTCATACAGGAGTAAAACAGCAGGCAGCAGAGATCAGAGAGACCAGCAGACCAGCGACCAGTAACACCAGGAATCAGTCCAGGAAGCAGTAACCAGTAACACCAGGGAGCAGTAACCAGAAAGTGTTACGTCTCTCTCACTGCCTATTATTGCAGCTTGCAACCGCACCCATAATTATCCAATTACATTGCAGTTTTTGTGCTTAAAGCTACAAACACTTAAAACTAGGTTTATACATTTATTCACCCAAACCAGTTGGAGTATTCATATACCCAACAAAAATACACTATGAGAAGATACTAGATATTGCCAAATACCGTCTTAACTTAATTCCCCTCAATTTCGTATTTTTATTATATATTTTCATGATAATTTTTCATTGTATATTTCCCTGAGTGATATTGTAACTGATAGATTCAAATAAAAAGACAGATTCACCTGAATCCACGTTGGCAAAAAAGCAGAATTACTCAATCAATCAATAATAAATATGTTTGGGAGATGGGAGGAGCTGGCGCCGAGATGATATGGCTTGCAATCGAGCTCTACGATTGCAGCCGATATCTTCGCCCCTAGCCGGTCCAAACGGACCTAAACCGTCCCGTAGGGACGGTTATTGTGAGGGGCATACCCTGTGGATCCCAGGGACACCGCAAAGTCCCTGGATGACCCAGGAGAAGTCCCTTTTGCTGGCGGCGAAGAGGCAGCCCCCATGCTGCTGAAGTCGGGGCAGCTCCGGAAAGGAAGAGGCTGAAAGAGAAAGTGTGTCGGCTGGGTGAGAAACTGCTTTTTTTTTTAAATATTTTGAGGTTTGAAAGGACACTTTGACTGTTAGAAGAAATCTGTATGATTTTTGACAAAACTGAATTGGCGGCGTTTTTTTAAGGGAGACGTCAAAATGAGGTTTTACTTTTTTTTTTTTTTTTTTGCTACCGGACTTTATTGCTACTTAGTAGATAACCGGACTGGTCTTTTTTTTTTTTTTCCACATATATTTCATTCTCCCTGGGATCTTCTTTTTTTTTAAACTTTTTTCTAGGCTAGAGGCTCCCTTTGGTTATTTCTCTTTTTGTATATATATGTATATATCTCTTGTTCTCTTTTTTTAACTTTAACTATCTCTTTGTGAGAGGAGGGGGGAAAGTGAGAACTAAGAAACTTTGTAACACTGCCAACTAGAGGCTTGAAGCGTTATTTGAAGTGGAGGAAATTATGAAAGGCTCCTTCTCAAGGACACTTCTGTGATAAGATAGAGGGGAAAGCGCAGTATTATTACAGGTGCTTTTCGGGATTTCTATCAACAATTAAATATTTATGGCTTGACTTTGAAGCCTGTGGGAAAGGGAAGTGAGCCATAACAAAAGCCTTGGACAATTAAACAGAGTGCAGTGTGTTGTTTCTCTCTCTTAAATTTCCTTTTTTAATTCCACTACCCCCCCCGCCCCACTAGCATTATTATAAATTCTTATTTTAGCAATGTTTTTATTTTTACCTTTTATTTTCAAGGGGAAGCCTTAGAATTTTTATATTTTTTAAAATCTATTTATTTATTTTTACTTTTATTTTTTCTTCTTTTTTATTGGGATTTTTGTTTTTTTTTATTTATACTCCTGGATTATTTTGGTCTCCTTGTCTTTTCTTTTTAAATTGGGACTCTCTAATTGGATTAAGGTTTGAAGAACCTGAAGATTCTACTTCTTTTTTTTTCTTCTTTTGCTTTGTTCTTTTTTTTTATTATTACTATTATTGGGCTTACTTCTTTTTATTTTTATTTTTTACCCTGGATTATTCTATAATTGGATTAGGGTTAGGAAGAACCTGAAGAATTTCCTTTTTTTCTCTCCTTTCTTTTTTCTTTTTCTTTTCTCTCTCCCTCACTATTGGATTTTTTGCTGCTGGACTTTTCCACTTTGGATTATAACTGGCTACGTTTTTGATTGGATCAAATTTGAAAGAGTCTGAAGATTTTGAACCACCTAAAATGAGTAGGAAACTCATATCCTCGGGTGCTTCTGTATCTTCTTCTGCTTCTTCACCATCTGGAGGACAACGTTCAACGCAGGTAATGTCAAAGCAAGATAAAGAACAAGAAAAAGTAACTTTACTGATGATCATGCAAGGAATTCAAGACCTTAAGACAAAAATAGATATCATTGAACAAAGAACAGGGAAGACTGAAGAAAAGGTGGAAAATATCCAACAGATGATGGTGAAATATGATGTGAGAATTCAAAAAGTTGAAGAAGAGGGTAAACGAAGAGAAGAGAAGATTGGAAATATTCATACTAGATTAATGGTGGTTGAACAAGAAAAAAGTGGGATGTTGAAGTGGGAGATGGAGAGGTCCGAATTTTATCTTAGATTCCAAAATATAGAGGAAGAAAAAGGGCAAGATTTGGTTGCGATAATGATAGAAATCTTGGCTGATGTTTTGGAAATAACAGAGGAAAAGATGATGGATGGAGTAGATGAGATATACCATGTTTCCACAAGATATGCGATGAGAAATAACCTACCTAGAGAAGTCCACATTAGATTTACCAAAAAATCTATTAAGACACAGATTTTACAAGCGGCAAGAGAGAAGACGTTGAAATACAAAGGTAAAGAAATCCTGGTCCTAAAACAAATACCTAGAAGAGTGAGAGAGATGAGAGGAGAATATCGATTTCTGACCCAAGCGTTATTGAAGAAGGAGGTGAATTACAGATGGCTGATCCCAGAAGGATTGATGTTTATATGGCAAGAACAGAGATATAGAATTGATTCAGTTGAGAAAGCAGAACTCTTCTACGCAGATTTTTTTGGAAGGAGAGAGGAAGAGGCAGAAAAAGAGGTCTTATTAACTGAATCCCAAGAGGAACAAATGGAGATGGAAAAAGAAGAAGGCGTAGTACGTGGACAGGTGGATATCAAAGATCAACGTGAACCAAGATGTATGAGACCCGCCAAGTCTAAATATAAAATATCATCATGGAAGAGAAAAAATTGATAACAATGAACATAAATGGACTGAATTCAGCTGCCAAGAGAAGGAAGACTTTTCATAAACTAGGGAAATTAAAGTTTGACATAATTTGTTTACAAGAAGTACACATTAAAAAACAACATGAACAATTGTTAGTGCAGCCAAAATTAGGGAAATTATTTACTTCTTTGACTCAATGTAAGAAAAGAGGAGTGGTCTTATATATTAAAGAGGCTATCCCCGCAAAACTGATCTACACTGATGAAGATGGAAGAATATTAATGGTGGAAATGATGGACAACAATATAAAAATACTTTTGATTGCAATTTACGCCCCGAATGATAAACAAGAAGAATTTTATAAAAAATTACATATGAAAATAACTGGACTTGACTATGCCAATATAATTACGATGGGAGATTTTAATGGAATTGTGGACAATAAATTAGACTATATAGCAACAACAGCAAAACATAATAGAAAGGTACTTCCTAAATCCTTTTTTAAAATGACAGATGAATTAATTTTAAAAGATATATGGAGAGAAAGAAACGCCAAAACCAAACAATATACTTTTTATTCAAATAGACACCTATCATGGTCCAGATTAGATATGATCTGGATCTCAACGGAATTAATATCTAGTATTGAAGAAATAAATATTGAAGCAAGTACTTGGGCAGATCACAACCCATTGACAATTAAATGGAAGGGCCAAAAAAAAAGATCGAGATGGACGTTAAATAATACTATCCTAAAGGAGAAGGAATTTATACGATGGCTCGAGAAAGAACTTGCCTTTTTCTTTAAAGAAAATAGAAAAGAAGATACTTCAGTGCAGAATGTTTGGGACACAATGAAGGCATATGTGAGAGGTTTGATAATAGATTATACAAGAAAAAAGAATGCTAGGAAAAGGCAAGCCATTTAAGCCCTGGAAGATGAGCACAAAAGACTTGAAAAAGAGTTACAGAAAATGCCGCAGAAAAAAGACATTAAATTGAAACTGGATATAACTAAACATAAAATGGACTTAATAGAGAAAGAAGAACTGGCACAGAAGATTAGGAATGCTAAACAGAACTATTTTGAAGATGCAAATAAGCCAGGTATATGGCTAGCATATAAACTGAGAAAGGAGAAAGAGTCGAGGAAAATATCCCAGTTAATAGATGACCAAGGTCAAGTCTGTTATGGTAATAAAGAAAAAAAGGAAATTATTCGAGACTTTTATGGACAACTTTATAAGAAAGAGAATATTGATGAGGGAAAAATTAAACAGTACTTACAGAATGCAAACTTACCTAAAATATCTAAAGAGACTGAAGAAATGTTAGAAAGTAATATAACAATGATGGAATTAAGTCAAGCACTAAAGAAACAAAATAACGGGAAAGCACCAGGTCCAGATGGGCTGCCTGTAGAATTCTATAGAATATTACAAGAATCATTGAGCATTCCACTTTTAGATGTTATGAATGAAGCTATGTCAAAGAAGATGATACCTAAAACATGGTCAGAAGCCTATATTACACTTATTCCAAAAGATGAGGCTGATCCACTGCAAATTAAGAACTATAGACCGATCTCTTTATTAAATGCAGACTATAAAATTTTTGCTTCGATATTAGCAGAAAGACTTAAAAAATATTTGAATAGTTTTATTCATCCAGATCAAAATGGATTTCTGCCAAAGAGACAAATTAAAGATAATATGAGAGTAATTGGAATACTATGAGGCACATCCTGAAAAGCAAATGGCTTTGATATTTTTAGATGCCCAAAAGGCATTTGACAATGTGAATTGGAGATTTATGTTACTTTTATTGGAACAGATGGGCTTTGCTAGAAGATTTATTCAAGCAATAGAAGCAATTTATCATGAGCAAACTGCAAAGGTTATGATAGAGGGAGAATTTACTGATGCTATTAATATAAGAAAAGGCACAAGACAAGGATGTCCCCTTTCTCCCTTGCTATTTGTATTGACTTTGGAAGTGTTGAATAGAAATATCAGAGAAGATAAAACTATAAAAGGAATGAAAATCAAAAAGGAAGAATTTAAATTACAAGCCTTTGCAGATGACTTAGTCTTTATTTTAGAAGACCCTATAGAAACAGCCTTGAAGCTGCTGGAAAAGATAGAGACATATGGTGAGGTGGCTGGTTTGAAAATAAATAAAGATAAAACAAAGATTTTGTCAAAGAATATGTTACTAAGACAAAGAGAAGAATTGGCAGATTTGCTGAAAATCCAAGTTACAAACAAGGTTAAGTACTTGGGGATATATTTGACATCAAGATGTAGTACATTAAAAGAGAACAATTATATTAAACTTAAACAACAGATAGTCCTAGATTTGAAGAAATGGGAAAACTTACAATTGTCATTAATAGGGAGGATTTCAACAATTAAGATGAATATTTTACCCAGAATCTTATTTTTGTTTCAAACAATACCAATTAGGCTTGGAAAAGACTATTTTGAGGACTTAAATAAAATTGTGTTGAAGTATATATGGCAAGGTAAGAAAGCGAGGATAAAGCTAAAGCTTTTGCAAGATGCTAGAACTAGAGGAGGGTTTGGCCTGCCTAATTGGGAGTTGTACTATCAAGCTGCAAATTTGATGTGAGTTAAAGAATGGATAACATTAAGGAAGACTAGATTGTTGACATTAGAAGGTCATGACTTGCTGTTGGGCTGGCATGCTATTCTATGGTACAAGGGAACTAAAACACAGGGCTATTTTAGAAGACATTATATACGGGAGTCTTTGTAGTTAAACTGGGAGAAGATAAAAAAACAATGTTATTTGAAAATTCCAGTTTGGTTATCGACGATAGAAGCTTTTTCTTATCCTATAATCTATAAAAAGGAACAAACAGTTAGATATGGGGAATTACTAGATGAAAAGGGTGAACTTAAATCGATACAAAAATTAGAGGAACAAGGTATACAGATGAATTGGTTTTCATATGTGCAAATACACTCAAGGTATGTTAAAAATTCTAAAACAGAGGGATTCTATGATAAATTGTCTGACTTAGATAAGATTTTGACAGGTACTGATGAAAAAGTGATTAAAAAATTATATGGTTACTTATTGGAAATTAAGCTAGAGGAAGAACAAGTTAAAGAAACTATGATTGCTTGGGGGAGGAATTTTGGATATGGGATTGATTTAGAGAAATGGCAGAAATTATGGTCGCAAAATTATAAAATGACAATGTCTACAGCTTATAAAGAAAATTTGTATAAGATGTTTTACAGGTGGCATCTCCCCCCGACAAGGATAGCAAGAATGTTTAAGAACAAATCGGAAAAATGTTGGAAGTGTCATCAGATACCCGGTTCATATTACCATATGTGGTGGATTTGTGAGGATGCTAGAAAATACTGGACTAAAATCCGCACGTGGTTGGGAAAAATGACAAAGAGATATATAGATTTGAAACCGGAGCTTTTCTTATTGGGAATCTTACCAGATGTTTATAGTAAAGATTTGAAATACTTGATTGTAAATGTATTGACTGTGGCTAGGATTGTATTTGCAAAAAATTGGAAAAATGAGAAAATTCCATTGCAGGAGGAAGTTATTAAGAAAATATTGGAATGTGCTGAGATGAGTATATTGACATTTGAAATTAGAGAGCAAGAAGATAAACAATTTTATACAATTTGGGACCTTTTCTATCAATGGCTGGATGATGAAATACAAAAATAGAATATTTAGAATGTTAGGTAATAAGGAATATTATTGACTTTTCTTCTCCCTTTTTTTTTTGCTACTTGACGTTACATTTATAAAATGTTTTTTTTTCTTTTTTTTTAAGATAGAATTGGTATGATTATATGATTTGTTATAGAATAAATTACTTAAAATATAGTTATCTCATAAGGCATGATTGAATAAAAGTATAGTCAAATCTTTTTTTTTTCAATAATGATATGTGGATATATAAGTTTGAATTGATAATAAGTTATTATGTAATGTAATTGTAATTGTGACTACGAAATGAATGCACAAAACTGATGAACCAACCGACACACTGTTTGTATATAAGTATTGAAGAGAGCAGATGTTTTTATGTTTTTGTTTGTTTGTTTGTTAAAAAATCAATAAAATTGTTTTCAAAATAATAATAATAATAAATATGTTATCTTATCCTAGTTGGTAAGTCATATAATATTTATACTAGAAAGAAACTTAAACTTCCAAACTCTTTGACAAATATAATGACATTTAGTTTACCATTTTTAGCATGTTGGTAGCAGTTGGACTCACAGATCTCCTTAAAGAATTGTGCAAGTCAACAATCTCCTTTTGTTTTTCTTGTCTCCTGGTTGACTCGGAATTAAAATCAACCTTAAGATAGCAAGCAAAATAAAATAAAATAAAAACAATTAAAAATTGTATGACTTTAAATAGAACAGGTAACTAGAACAGGTGGCTTCAGGCTTCAGCAGCACTTCTTGTGAATGACTTTTCCTTCTATCTCCTTCTATCACCATTCTACTCCTTGCAACTTTCTTCTGATCCCCAGCTATAAAAGAGTGGCCCATTTGTCTGTTTATTTAAAAGGAGACTAGGCACAACATATGAAACAGGTGATCACACAGCCAAATTAAAATGAATTAATCATTATATCCTAATTTGTTCTTCAAGGGAATACTGCAGAGGTATGTATGTGAACTTATATGGCTGTCTATCTCCTGTAATGATCCTAAAACAAGAACAAATAGGCTGAAAAACAGCTTCTATCCCAGGGCAGTAGCTATTTTGAATTCTGCTGTATAGTACAATGTTGGTGTGGTGTCCGGGGTTTCCGGTTCAATGTGTGAAGCATGAAGGATGTGTGATTGTGTTTATTTTCATGGTCATGGTCATGATGTGCACTGAAGATGGTGTTTGATTTCGTTGTATGAGGTGCAATGACAATAAACTAAACTAAACTAAACTAAACCAAGTGGCTCACAACAGGAATAAAAAGAGAGCCACCCTACTCACCAAGTGCCATACCAATCAGCCCCATTGAACCCCCAACACTGGGGGAGGGGGGGAGGTACTGAACTAGATCTTCACTGAAGCTTAAAAGTGTAGGAATCCTGTTAGGAATGTAGGGATCTCTCAAATCTCAGGTGTGGAGGGGCTATTCCAGCTGATTGGGACTTATAGGCCACAGACATTGAAATTAGTCAGATTCTTTTCATTAAACATGCCAGTTTTAATTATATTTGAATGCCCCATTCAGCATGATTTTGTTTGGTTTGTGTGTTCAGCCCTGGAATTTATTTATGAATTAAAGTGAACAGTTCGCTTGACCAAGCTTCACTGACCAAACCAGAGTAATGAATGCTAATACTTTTTGATTACAAGGTTACAGTATCACAGCAAGAGTCCTGAAAGTCTGGGTTCAGATTTATCTCACTGTTTTCTCAGCTGCATCTCTTCTTCTTGCTCCTAAAGGTTATTTCTCCCACCCATCACACATATGGAGCAATACAGCAGAAATCAGGAAGTTTAATGACTGATTAATTGTAAGAGGAGAAAGTTATGTACTGTATATATTAAATTTGCTATGCGAGATACAAAATTATTCAACTTACATTTCCAAAAGACTGCTGAAGCGCTGTAGCAAGACTTAGCAAGATGAAGGCAATCATTTCTAAAAACAAAAGAACATTGAGTCATATCAGTGCTCAATCTTCTTAATGGAATTGTTGCAATTTTCTGTAAATCGTTCAGATATCTCCTAGACCACAAAACGTACTCTAAAAAAACTCTTAAGTATTTTTTCTCTTTTACTCCCTTGTACTCCAATAAGCATACTACATATCCATGATTCATTTTAAGGATATGTAAATTATTTATATACAAATCATCTATCAACTCACAATAGTTCCTTAAGTTTTCTCTTCTTGATTTGCTGCAGTAAAATATAACTTTCACCCCAGCCATTTCCATAAATGGCAATAAAAAAATCACACCGATTAGAGATTATTGAATCTAAAATTCAACATGTCTGAAGGACCCCAGGTTGGAAACAGCTCATTTAGAATATATTGCTTCTCAGTCTTTTGCCGTATATCAAATACAATCAACTATATTCAGCAGATGCAAAGGCTACACAGCTAACACATTTGGCAATGGTGATTGCTCCTGAGGCAATGCAATCATAAGTTGTTTCTGATTGCAAGTATTTGTCCTGGACTCCTGGAAGCCTTTATCTTGAGAGCATGAAAACAGATTGGATTAACATGATACTTAGTTGACTTCCCAGCATCTCAGGTGTGCTAGGAAGTGGTGTGACACCACTGTATGTGGAGTTTGCTTTTCTGTGGCCCTTTTCCATGGCTGTAGCATCTAATGAGCAACTACAGAAAGCAGAAGCTGTGATGGACTTTAAAATGGATAGCAGAACGGGCAGCATATCAATTTAATAATAAATTTTAAAAAATTAAAATTGCTGAGTTAGAATACTAGCACCATGCATAAAATATTGGGGGGCACTAAACTAGACTGCCAAAATCCATAATAACAGGGAGGAGGAAATAGAAAAAAATAGTATATTTTATGAGCTCAGTTTCTCTTAGGAAAAAGTATTAAGCCAAAAACCAAAAATGGCTAGGATTGAGGTCTTGTGTATTGAGGTATACATTTACAGAACAGTGGTACAAAGGTTTATTTGGAAGTCAGTCCCATTGAATTCAATTTTTGTGCATTCATATAAATACACAAAAAGGCCTGTAGCCTTGAAAGAGTTTTAATTCTAATTTCCTCTTTCCAGGGAATCTTAGAAATATTAGTTTAGTAAGGGAAGATCCCAGGGATGCCTAACAGGATCATTGGCAAGTTCAAAAAACAGCAGCGTCTGATTTTTTCTAAAGATAAGTCATGTTATTTAAGCTACTATAAGACCTAATATATTATCATAATAGATGTAACATATTCTCAAAAATAGAACAAAATAAAACAATTTCATAGAAGTTGCATAAATACTAATTGCCTTTCCCCCTAAAATTATCCCAGCTTGGTTAATTACAAGCAATGGGTTTAAACAAGCTGCAGTAAAATAATAAATCTTACCTCTAGTTCTGAATAAACCTGAAGGTTTATTCTTATTATTATTGCTTTCAGAAAATTGTGGAAGTGAGACAGACAGTGCCAGGTTTATATACCTTCACTGCTTCCTGCAATTCAGAGTCACACAGTGCTCAACAGTAAATTGTATCCCTTAAGCCTTGTAAGACAGAAGTTTTGATTTGTCTCAAGATCTTTTTTTCTTCTTGGTTGCCAATCAGCCCCTTAATAATTGACATTACAACAGACTCAAACATGGTGAAGATATGACTCCCCCCCCCCCCCCCGCGGCTAATATGATCATATTTCGAGTGCTTGGCAACCAGCACACTTTACATCTGGTTACGGTAATTCACAATCACGTGACCTTTTTCCAGCATAAAATGGCAAAAAGTACTCATTGGATATGCTGCATTTGCTTAATGACTACATGGTTTGCTTAATCTCAGTGACGCATGAGCAAAATTTGGGATCCATGTGATTGTTAAGCAAGGACTACTTATAATGTTATCACCTCTTTATATTTCAAGATAATGTAAAAATACTGAAAGTATACAAATTGTGGCTTTGTGATCATTTAAACTCTAAACCCCATATGCTAATACTCTGGTATGGAGAATGATAACCTTGATTTATAGCAACCTTCTACAATAGGTGCTCTTCAGAAGGTTGGAGCTGTGTGAGGTGATTTTTAATTTTTGCCTTGGATTTGACCCTAAAAGAAAACAAATCCAGGAAAATAGGGTTTCTGGAATGTTTTTAAGCGGCGATTAAAGAGAGGCAGAGAGAAATTGCATCCTAACAGGAAATAAGTAAAAACTATAAAATACAGAAAGCCTGGATGTATAAATTTTACTGGCATGACTTTGAACAGGCATTTTAAAATGCTGGATATTTGACTTTTTATTGAATATTTTTTTGAACCAACTTGAAGTAAATAACGGTCAGAATAGCGTTAACATTGAATTTTAAGCTGAAGGCACCATCTACTGGTGAATGGATATATACTATGTCATACTCCTAGAATAAAAAAAATAACCCTGGAAAACTCTGATAAGAGAAGACAATAACACCTGAATGTCTGCTGTATTATCTATCTGTTCTATACTTATCTACTTTATGGTTACCTTGAAAACCCAAAGGATATCTAATGGAATGACTTTTGAATACTGGAATTAATTAGCAATTCAAAGATTGGGTTTAAGGAGTGATCTGGAAACCACCACCACTCTGGACTGTATAAATGGAACTAACTGACTAACTGTGGGATATAAGGAATCATAATTATTATATCTCCTGATGAACAATGTTAAGATTAAGTAACTTGTTGGCTTTGGGAAGTAAAAAAGAATAGATTCTTGAGCAGTGACAGATTATCAGCAGAACATTGAATAATATTTGGACCTTTTAAAATAAGACAAGATGGCACATCAGTAGGAACTGGAGGCACTTCAAAAAGAAACCATGCTGATTCTCCAAAGTCTCTATGATACTATGATGAGGAATTTCAGGGAGACGAAAGACACTATATGACACAACTGGAAAGACTGAAAATGTACAACAAAAAACAATGAATCAAGATAATAAAAGCCAGGAAACAAGGGAGATAACTGAAAGCTTAGAGGATGACATAGAGCAGACTTCACAACAAATAGAAGAAGGAGAAAAGAAAGAAGAGACAATAAAGTTGGGTAAATATATATTAGGAGGTAAAAATGGAACTGAATAAAATGAGATATTTTTGGGGAAAAAGACAGAGGATTTGGCAGGTACACAGGTGCACTGGCAACAAAAAATAGTGGAGATGGAAATAATAGTTGGATTGAATATGAAAGATATAAATAAGAAGCCAAGGGAGAAGTATGGGAGGCAAGTTAAAAAGAGAAGAAATGAAACTTCTAAGAGAATGAGAGATGACAGATAGAAAGGATTAAAAAAAAATAAGCTTGGCTGTACTAAGAATTAGAATAGATTAAGAAATTAGGAATAGGGGGGATATTGTTATACATATTTTTGCATAACATATTTAAAGTGATAGGTAGAGGTAATGACCAGGTTTTGAAAAAGGGAGTTAATAGGTATTATTAGGCATTATTATTATTAGAAGGATGTACTAAATATTGAAAACTGAAGAATGAAGGATTATGTGTGCAAAACGTAATCACTGAAGTGGTAGTAACGCTGATTGAATCCCACCCCTGCTCAGATGCCACACTGTCCATGTAATAATGTTGATTATATTTAAAAATAAAAAAAACTTTATGAGAAATGACATGTCATATAAAATCAAACATCTAATATTTTGTAAATATTTGCAAAGCTCGTCATGCCAATCTAAGGGAATGTCATCTTCTTTCCAAATTACTTTATTGTTTGCTTCTTCTGACAACCTGAGAAAATCTGGGACAAATTTGTCCCTGTAAAAACAAAAAAACAAAGAGGGGCAGGAAGTGGACAAGGCAAGAGAAATAGATTTGGGGGCCTTAAATGCTTTTGCAAAATTATATCAAAATAAAGGAAGAATCAATGTTTCTCATATGGCTCCTTTCATTAAAACCTGGACAGAACTTTCCCATTGTGAGAGGGGGCTGGAGATGTAGACAGCCATTTCATTGTCCTTTCTAAACTGCGGTAATGGGATTTCTATTATGAATGTTCTACACTAAACTGAGTAGGCATAAAGAAGCAGATGTTTACCAAACTACTAGGAGTTTCTAAAGGAAAGTGCCCTTTCATTCCCATTCTAATATTTTTCCTCCAGGCTTTTTTGTCAGAGCATGTACCACGTATAGCATCTCTTCACAAATTCACTGTCTCAGCTGCTCTGCCTCCATCCTTGACCTTTGTAGATGCTGGTTTGTGCTGAAAGCTCTCTCCTTCCATTCCTGGTCTCCTCCCCAGCCATTTCTGCTCCTCCTCTAACAATCGATCAGTCAAATATGCCAATGGTTAAATCCTGCTCTTGCATAGACTCCAGACTTGTCACAAGAACATCCCATGAACTGCCCAGGGAACTGAGCACCACATACACTTTGTGTGCCTCAGTAAATGTCATTCCTCTTTTTTCCAACTCAAGGAATGTCCTTCTGATATTCTGCAGATGTGTGGACATACACTCCCCTAGCTTTAGCTGTGCCTTATACAGCCTCTTAGTCAGCAACACTTTACTGCCCGCAGTTTCAGACACTGAGCAATGTCTCCCAGCACTCTTTTGCAGACTGGAGACCCCTCACGTATATCAGCTGACTGTCCTCCAAAGCCAAAATTATGCTGGATAATGTGTTTTCATTTTTTCTCTGGTCCCCATTATGCAGGACTGCTGGTGGATTCATAACAATCATCCGCAACTCCTCCCTCTGCAGATACACTTCCAACTTCACATTCCAGGAGAGGTAGTTTGTCTCATTCAGCCGAGACACCAATAAACCTCCTCCGATTACACCAACAGAGGCCATGTTGCCACTAACCACAATTTAAACCACTTATCCGGATGTAAGCTCCCACTGGGTTTCTCTTCTCTCTAGGCTTTCCAGTCACTCTGTCTTCTCTCCGTACTGGGCCCATAACCTGTCAGAGTGTTTGCAGCATGAGACAGATCTTATGAGAAAACCCAGGAGCAAAACACAGCACACAGAGACTTCGACATTTAGCAGTGGTTTATATACAAGATATATACAGAAATATATGTGGTAGGCAAATACATTACAAGCAAGCAAACTTCTTCTTAACTGTTCTTAACAAAGAGAGAACTCTGCAATGAATACCTGACACAAGGAGAGAGAACACGCCCTCTAATGGCTGCCTTTATATAAACACCTCTTAAAGGGGTAGAACACATACATCCCTAGTCTTAAAGGGAAATAACCATGCTATGCTAATTCATTCTTATTGCATCAGCCTATATTGCATTAGTTTCACTGCTGGTTGGCTCTTAAATCCCAAGACCTTAACACTCCTATTTAAAGCCAAACAGCAGATAATCCAAATGCTTTTACATAGTCATTATATTTTCCAGAGATACAGGCTTTTTTGCAGGCTTTTTTAACACATCAGGTTACAAATACTGATAGATCTTATCCATTAACACTTACATCCTTTAACAAACATACATCCCAATTACAGGTTAATTCCAATTACAGTGTCAGCCAACAATATTGCAAACCATGTGCAACAAACCATGCTTTATACTTTACATCATTGTGTATAATGATAATAATACATCTGTGTCTTACTGCCTTTTTCCTTTCTGACAATGACATCATCTCCTGGCAACTTTGGAGTTCATTCCTGACACTGTATGCTCTAACCTCACTTGCAGTGAACCTTTCAGGAGACATACCTTTATTACTCCTCTCAGATCTTGGTATTATATGTTCCTGTATTTCTGTTACAGGCCTCTCCTCTTCTATATCTATATCCACTGTGTCTTCTCTTTTTATCATGGGCCTATCCTCTTCTGTATCTATATCTGACCTGGTTTCCTATCTCTCCTTCCCTATCTCACCTTCCGATAAACTAGAACTATGCGTTGGCATGAATACCTCATGGTTAGCATGTTCCAATTATTCTACTCTGCAGAACTAGCAGATCTTGAAATCACTACCTGTTTGATAACATCTGTTGTTCCTGACTCATACCCAACAAATCTAAGCTTCCTGGCCTTATTCTGTCCTTTTCTCCTGGTACCTTTTGGAATATGTACCCAGGCATAACTGCCAAATGTTCTTAAATGAACTAATGAGGGTTAAAATGTAACAGGAAAGGGTCGTTGGTTCTTAACTGATATGACCTTTCTCATTGAGTGGAGATAGAATCCAGGATTGGGTTGTCAGTTGTTGCTAGCTGATTGGACTGCGTCTGTCAGATCTGTGAGGACACTTCTCTGTTCCTAAGGATGCCCCAGAAATTGGTGGAGAAATAGTGACAGACTGATGTGTTTTGTTGTTGTTGTTGTTGTTGTTGTTGTTGTTGTTGTTGTTGTTGTGCTTCACTGGATTCAGAACGACCCACATCAGGGTGGGGCTGGATGCTATCTCCACCCAATGAGAAAGGTCGTATCAGGTAAGAACCAACAGCCCTTCTCCATTGTGGTGGAGATTGCGTCCAGGATTGGGACATACCAAAGCTGACTGTCCTATGGGCGGGCCTAGTTTGGTCTGAATCTCCTAGACAGGGTGGACCTTTTGAAGAACTCTCCATCCAA